TTTCTAAATCTCTAGGAATTGACATTGTGGTAAACAATGCTAGTGCTATCAATTTAACCGGAACTCTGGAGACACCCATGAAAAAGGTTGACCTTATGTTGGGTATCAATTTAAGGGGAACTTATTTGACGTGAGTAAAATTTGATTGATTAAACTCATTAATTTTCATGAACTGTTAAAATTAATAGCATGTGACTAAAGCTGTATTACAGTATTACTCCTGCCAGACTTCTGCACACACTTGTTCACCCGGGCTCCAGACAGAGATGGATCTGATATTAAGAACTTATGCAGAATCAGGAAGAAAAAGCAATGATGAGCAAGTGTGACCAATATCTTTCTTGAATTGCTCAAACTTAGATGATTTTTATCTGCAAAAAGGATCATTTTATTTCAAAGAGCATCAAAAGAAAGCTTATACTGTAACTTTTTGTAGTTAAAGGTGCAGCTACAGGTGACCATGAAGGTAACAGTATTTTTTTGTAGCTCTTCACTGATTTATTTGAAAAGGTGCAGCATTGGTATATTCATTGCGCCTATTATGATTTGTTCAACAGGGTTGATGAAAATAGGGTGTATTTTGAAACTCACTGTTTAGCAACGTGTGACCACCATCAGAGGCAATCTAAGCTTTATGAGTGTGACGCATGCTTCCCACTTGGTAGCAGATACTTTGTGGGGAAACTGTCCCATTCCTGTAGGTAGACAAGCATATGACCTTTCTGTTGTGCCCTATGTGCCACGCCTTCCCCGCGTAGCCGACTAATAATCAGTGGGGCTCATGTCTAGAGAGTAGAGCATACAAGACATCACTGTCATATTCTCATCTCGCAGGAAAACAGTACTTCTGTGAGTAGCTTGAGAAAGTGAGTTGTCCTGCTGGAGTCTTGTGATGTCAAACTAAGCCCACAGGAATAGCAACAAGTTAGGGCCCAGCACTTGTTCAGTGGAGCACTGTACAGTCAGATGGCTATCAGTCACTACAAATGGAGATCTACAGCTACTAGGCACCCTTCAACCAACTAACATGCTTGGACTTCCCCACCTGTGTCTGTTGTACACAACAGTTTGTGTATTGTTCTGCATTTCTCAATCAATCAAGGTTTATTTATCAATGCACGAACAGTACAGCATCCAGCGGTGTTGTCGGCAATGAAATGCTTTAGAAAAAGACAAAAACGGGCTGGAGCTCGCGGGACGGCTGCCATCTTTGGCGGCGCCATCTTACAACTTCTGTGCTTCTCTCCCTGCCATCCAGCATGGTGGTCCATGCAAAACCCTAATTCATTGCAAAAGAGGACTTGTCTGACCGCCTGAAATTAGTTAGTACAGAACAAAGGCATTTGTCACTTGATAAGCGTGGAATGTTTATTCCACTCTGCCTTTTTGGTCTATGAATCTCCTCATCACCTGTGCCCTTTCAGCTATGCCCATTCTGAGCATCAAAAGGAACAAACAAACTTTTGATGCTCGGGTTGTGTACAGGTGAATATTTTTTTGTTTGCTGCATTGAAAATGGCGAATGTCTGTCTGAGATACTTCTTGTAAGTGTGAAGGCAAATTGTAAAGCATCATTTTTACAATTGTTAAAGCGCTTGTGAATGCCTTTAGTTACTTAATATGATTTCTGTTGTACAAAAGAGAATTAGTTTGTTTTAGTACATCTATAGTTTATAAATGATGACGTGGTAAAACTTTCTCTGGAGGTTTTAAGTTTTAATTTTTTTAGTTATGGATTGGATATTGTGGAATTTAAATTTACCTAGATAGTGCTAAAATTGTCTAGGGATTTTTAGATATTTTTTTTTCTTTGAAGAGAAGAATCTCTGAAATACTTTTGTAGAAATACAAAATTGCTCTTTTTTTTCCCCATTTGTCAGTCATTTTGAAAAGCGCAAGATGTAGATAAACCTTCTTATTTTGTTAGATTGTAGATAATACTTTGTCAGCTTCTTATCTTTACGGTTGCTGGTTTAGCTGCATTGTATGGTCCACTTGCATAAGCAGATGGCAGTGCTAGGGTAAATCCATCCCTACTGAGTGTTTTTATAGAAGGGATCAGAATATTTCTCCATCTACAGTGGAGATAATAGGTTATGTGTATGAATTTCTGTAGAATGGTTGCAGTGCAGTAATGGAATTGTATTTTCTTTCACACTGGGCTGTTCTCAGATGCACCCATTAAGGTAATCAAGTTTAAGGGTAAACTTCCTTTAGTTACAGTAGATGTGACAGCAGTGTGGACACCTGTGGCTGAACATAATCTAAAAGACACAGGGCAGGGGATGACTTACTGTAAGTTGTAAGATGAGATGAGTAGACATTGATAATGCTTACTTTGACAGTCTGCTCTGAACAGATATTCTGCATATGATTTATGCAATACCATGAAGTTCCTTGTTAGTGATATCCTGGTCACATACTGTGCGCTTGCCTAGAGGGACAACAGATCAAGATCTTGCCTGTCTACAGAAGTCCAGGAAAACATCAGCAAATAATTGTTTGCTCGTAATTTACATTACATACCATGTCTTAAGTGTTCCAAGTTTGCATTTTGTTTCAGAGTCTACAAATGTTTTACATACAGTAAATACTGTAGATGTAATTTCCCTAACAAAATTGTTTTATTTTTAAAATTTACTCCTGTCCATCCCACCTAAAGAGCAAACTTAAACTCGCACATCTCCATTTAAAGCTTTCATGTCTTCACAGATCATTATAAGTGCTTTGTACAGATCATAAAAGGAAGTCAAAGCCATGAGGAGTGAGTCTGGAATGGTCTTCTGTCAAGCTTTGCTTTAAAGCTTTGAAAATTATGCTTACATCTGTCTTTATACAAATAGCACTGTGGCGTCTGTTTGAACAGGAAAACTAACTCGCTTTGCTCAGGAGACTAATCACTGTTGCTAAAATGAATTCCTGTGCCTTCAGATGAAATACAGCCATCCAACTGCAAAACTTATTCGCTTAATGCACTTCTTTTCAAAGGTCAAAGCTCTGTGTCCCATACCTTCAAAAGAGCAAAAATCCCCACATACTCAACCTGAGCCCACCTCTCAACCTCAACCCCGTTTGGTTCAAGAATCACACAGGTGAGCTTGTGAGATATTACCTTGTGTATCACACTTTCTCACATAAAATTGTTATGCAGTGCACTGTTTCATCATTCTGTATGAAGAATTACACTTTGAGATTTTATAAGGATATAATGTTATAATAACTGGGGTCCATCATTTTTCGTGAGCAAAAACGTCTGGGGCCTCTTCCTATCTTTTGCCATTTTAAACTGAAGTTAAACTGCAGTTGAAGTTCTAAGACACTGAGGACCATATTCAGAAAAGTATCTCGACATAATATTTTAGAAATGTAGTGATGAATTTTGTTTAATTGTTTCTTATGGTACTTGCTTCATGGTTTGATTAAATGATTAGAAAAATAAGGTTGACATGATTTGTTGAAGTACTTTCCTAGGTTTCATATGGTTTCATTTTCCTTATCGAAAACCTTTTTACCATCATAAAAAGTAAAATGTATATTTGGAAGGACCAACAATTCTAAAATAAATACATAATTTAGGTGTTAATTAAAAATGACAACAGTTAACGGAATACCATTCAATAGAAACACAAATTTTCTGATTAGGATCTTGTAAATACAAAAAACAAAATGAACAGTCATCATTAGCAGTCCTGGACACTGTCACAGTATTAGTTAAACCTCCATTTGAGTATTAATTATTTCAGTGCAGTGGGTATTTTAATTTAAATCTTTTTTTAATTCTGTCAATTTAGTCGATTTTAAAATGGGTTATCGGGAGTCTTGTGAAATATTGAAGAACCCTTCACTTACTTTATGTAGTTTTTGATAGTATTGCTAATTCACGTATATTGCCTACTGTTTTTTTTTTTTTCCTCGCCCAGCTTATACCATGGCAAAATATGGAATGTCAATGTGTGTCCTGGGAATGGCTGAGGAATTTCGTGGAGCCATTGCTGTTAATGCTCTTTGGCCAAAAACAGGTAGGTGACTATATTTTAAAGCATTGTTGCTCCTAATGCCTTAGTAATTGGAGGGAAAACAACACAGCAATCTATTAATAATAATAATAATAATAATAATAATAATACAAAAGGCCTACACAAGTCAAACAATATGCAGTATTACAGATTACAACTAGATGATCCATGATTCATAGTGCTTTCGTGAAAATGTACAGTAGTAGAAATCATGTGGGTTGAGAATTGCATTTTTTCCCTGTTGAAATGTGGAAACTGTAAAGCGGCTCTCAGTGTCTTAAATTATTTTGTGATTAGAGACTTTGTTGGCTATTCTTAACCTCTTTTTCTGCCTCTTGAAGTCTTGTTGCGCTTCTTAAAAAAACCTTTTTTCCAACAAATGCAGACAAGGTGAAAGTTTTGACTGTGTCCCTGTTCAATTCCAAGGAGCCCACGGTGAAATGAAAGAATCTTGCGAGGTAGCAGCATTGCTCATATGGTTTGCAGCAGTACCGGCCCCTGTGCTTCTCTTACTTGATGTAATCTGAGATGTCACTTTCTTCAGATTAATTTCTTTTAATCGAGTTATTCAATTTATGTTCTTTCCGGACCCTATGCGGACGACACAATCCAAAAAGTGGGGAAACACTAGGGAAACGTCATGCAGGAATACGGGGCTAAAGACAGGGGGGCGTGTCCAAGGTGCGCTGGTGCACGGGGGAGGTGTGGCCGAGGCAAACAATCCAAAAGAGTAGTCCTTAGAGAGAATCCAAAACACAAGGGTAAATCCAAAACCAGGAGATCCATCAAAACGCGGAATTAAAACACGAAGACCGGGTCGGAACCGGCGGACAGGGAACAGGAACGGGAACCGAGATTAAAACCTTAACGGGACCAGGCGCTTCCAGGTCCCGAACTTGCACGATACGGAAATCAGATGCAGAGCCCGGATGAGCGTCAGCGCCTGGCTTTTAAGGTGGGCTGGGAATAGGAATCAGGTGCACAGAATAAGGTCTCAAGTGAAAGGGCTGGAGCACCCTTAAGGAGGGGGGACTATAATCGTGACAATTTAATTGTCGTTTTTGGAATGTTAAGTCATTTAATGGTCATTTTTTTAACTCTGCCTTATTTAGATGCACCCTTCAACATTATTACCGGTGCGTTTCTTTTCCAGCTATACACACTGCAGCCATGGACATGCTGGGCGGCTCTGGTGTGAGCAAGCAGTGCAGGAAACCAGAGATCATGGCAGACGCTGCTTACTGTATTCTCACCAAGCCCAAGACCTACTCTGGAAACTTCACCATTGACGAAGACATACTCAAGCAAGAAGGGATCAAAGAGTTCGATGTTTATGCCGTAGCTCCAGGTACGATTCGCGATGGGCGCGAGGCAGGACCATCGCTAGGCACACATGGACACAGACTCTCACACCAGGGCCGGTTAACCTAACCAGTATGTCTTTGGAGTGTGGGAGGAAACCAGAATTAACAATTAACACCAGGAAGAAACCTGCATTAACAAGGGGGAGAACCGAACCTGTAAAACTATGGAAAAAAATACAAAATTCAAGCAAGGGCCTCAGCACTGCGAGGCGGTAATGGTAACCACTGCACCCCTGTGCTGCCCAAAGCTATGAATAGTACAGTTGTATTTTGGTATCCTATAATACTGTAGGTATCCTAGTGCTCTTTGAAAGTGTGTGTATTTAAAAAAACACAGACAACGAGATGAGAAATGGCGGCCTTTTACAAATCCAGGCTTGACTTATGTTAGCGAAGAGGTAAAATCCCTTGTACATGAACAGTAAGCAAACAGTCATGCACTGCATGAGGAATGGGACAGAATCCCACAAGACAGTACATGCAGCCTTGTACAAGAATGTCAAAGATGCACAGCTTGTATTGCTGTGGCCACACACACTACAAGCCTGTCACACTTGCACAGTAAGACCCCCTGGTGATGACAAATGTATAATTAATTAGTCATGTGTACTGACATTTTAGTGATAGGACCTCCTACAAACATTTGTCATTTTTTTTCAACTTTGTGATTTATTGCATTTAGGTTTTCCTTAGTGTTCAGTATTTCATTATCATATAATTTTTTGTATTTCTTGGTTGAGGAACATTGAACTAAATAGTGGGATTGATTTACACTACCTTTGCTACTTTTACTTAGGAGCACTTTTGCTGGTTTGAAATTTCATTGTAAAGGACTTCAATGTTGAGACATAACCTGTGACATGCTAATAAGTAATATACAGTAATATAGTGTTTTTATATTGCCCATCTGAACATTATCTGGAGAGACAATGCATTGTTGTGGCCCTTTTCCATGCCTCTCTGGAGCTCAGTCTCTACAACCTGTCTCCACAGGGCACCCTCTGCTCCCTGATTTCTTCTTGGATGATGACCCTGAAACACTGGCTAAAAAAATGGAGGATCATGGTATGCTTTATTTCTGCAATCAGTCCAGGCTACAGGATTGCATAACATCCAGCTATTAATCTCAAGCTTCGATTTAAACCACTAGAATTGATTTCTGAATAATTTACCTATTTGCACAATGAATCAATTCTTGTGATTAAGTTTAATATATCAATCCAAAATTGTTCATTTGATTCACTTGAACAAAACAGCACAGGTGAATGGCAGACACTAAACTATCGCTGATTTGGATAATAATTCAAACCAGACTTAGTCATTTAGAAGGCTATAGTAAATGGCAGACATGACTCAATGTTAAATTAAATCTTGATTGTTTTCTTTCTTTACCATGAAACGAAACATTGTAGAAACAAGATTATAATTTCTGAGAGAAAATATTGTATATAGGTAGTTCAGTTGATGAGACCTTAATTAGTTGCTCTTGTACAAATGTCTTTGGCAGCTTTATACTTTATACTTTGGCTGCTTTATACTTTATACAGAAACATCTGGTAAACTTAGAGACACCAAGAATGTTGTAAGCAAGGGCTTCCATACTGCTGCAACTCATGCCCCAAAGTCCTGGCCAAAATTCCCTTGGCCTTTACCAGTCATGGCCTCCTATTTATTCCTGTCTATGAACTGGCTTCATCACTCTGTTCTCCTCCCCACTGATAGCTGATGTGTGGTGAGCATACTGTTGCATCATCCAGGTGGATGCTGCACATTGGTGGTGGTGGTGGAGGGGAGTCCCCATTACCTGTAAAGTGCTTTGAATGGAGTGTATATAAGAATAATCTTTTATTAATAAAATTAATTTACCAAAAAACTTCCCCGTTTGCTTAGGGCCATGCATACTAATACTGGACGGGCCTGGTTGCCTATTAATTATGGTTTGTGTGACTAGAAGAGGAGACCTCAGTGTCTTTAAAAGAGGCGTAATTGTTGAGGCGCGATTAGGAGTATCGGCGACCAAGATGGCTCAACTTTCAACTCAGGTGATGTTGGCGTCCTCATCAACAGAGGGCAGCAGTGGGAGGAAGTGCATGCTCCAGGATTGTCATATCCATGGATTAGCACATGTGGTTGCCCAGTGGTTTGATGGCCATAGCGTTGATGCTATCCATGTGCCATGGTCTTCTCACTAGATCTGAACCCTATTGAGCATTTATGTGATATTTTGGAACAGCTCCCAAGACAGGATTTTCTACCTCTATCAACTATGCATGAGTTGATGGACTTTCTTGTGGAAGAATGGTGCCTCATTCTCCTGCCGAATTCTAGAGCTGGTAGACTTTATGCCACAACACATACTGACCTTATTAAGTGATTTTTACATTGGTGCCTCCATTGGTGTTGGCATTTTGTTTTGTCCGCTATCTGTAAATCAGAAGTTAATGTATTGCCATGTGCAATATAATAATGAATGCATAATAAAACAGAAGTATTACCTAATTTTTTTATTAACAAAAAGTTTTTATTATCATGAAGAACTAATGAAAATTAAACAGTAACATGACAACCCTTGTTTTGCTGTGAAAGTGTCTCGCTCAGCTCTAGTGTACGAGAAGACATAACTGTTGTTTCTGTAGTTGACTGGATTGCAGCCACAGAGCTGATTAGGAAGGGTGTTGTTTAAAAAGCCTTTTTTACTGCCTTTGCAGGTGCATCTCCCATATTGAAAAGTGGGAAATCCCAGGCAGAGGCAGCAGCATTGGCTGGACCTATAGCCAATACTTTTGATCTCATAAAGGGAGTTCTGAACCCTGACGTTGTCCAGTCGACAAAGGGTGTTTACAGGTTTGACCTTTCTGGTGAGTTTTTTTTCTTTATTGCTCATGATTGGGTGGTTGCAGTTGTAGAGGATGTAATAAGTCATAGCACAGTTCAGTGAAGGTTCGAAATCAGTTTGAATTTGTTACCTACTGTAAAAACTATTTTCCAGAGTCCATTCCCTGCCCCCCCACCCATGGCGCTTTTAATCCAAGCAGTTTTGCAAGACGTCTTATGGTCCGAGTACAGCTCTGGTCACCCTCTTTTATTACAACAGATGAGTGTTTAGAAGTGATCATTGCATATGCATTAGTGCACAACTGTACAAAATATTACCACACATGGCACCTTGGCTATTTCTATTAATTCAGGTGGGTAGCTGTGTCAGCATGCGTAGGCTGCGAAGGAACAAGTAATAGGGCTGGTGCCTACAGTTATTCAGTCTACTGGGGGCTTATAATGACATGAATCAGCTTGTTATTGGCTTAATTGGAAAGTGTATCACTTGTCTTAGCTGTTCAGGTGTTGTTGCTTTAAAGAGACTTCAGGAACAGGAATGGGGACTCCTAATCTAAAGATATTGCACTAGGCAAATCTACCCAGCAACACAAAGACTACTCTGGTTGTTTGAATAGCCTTTTTATGACAGTAGTGTCAAGTTCTTAGTAACTGAAAGCTTGTCTCTATAGGTTTTGAGATTTTAAGAACCCAAATACTGATTTTGTGATTAAAGCATGAAATTGCAGCATCATCCACATGTTAAGACCTCTAACTCGGATTGTACCCTTATTTTAGTCTAGCAGTTTCAAGACACTAAGCCTGTACCTCTGTCACTGCCTTTGTTTAACACTGAATAGCTACACTGTTAGTCAGTGTACGGTGGCTTAGCATGAGAATTCCCAAGGGCATTAAACGGGCTGAAAAGTCAGTAGCTTTTGTTTGCTTCATTTGATCCACAACCTGTATCCACTCTCTTGAGTCGAAAATCCAACCCATGCTACTAAATATGTAATGCACTTGTTTTGATATTACAGTAATATCCAATTCTTTTCTGATTCATTGTGAGATTGCTGGTAAATTGTGGAATGTGGATAAGGTAAACATTATGTGATAAATATAATTGTTATATTAAATATTTTTGAACTGTGAATGGCTTCAACTTGTGAAATGAATTGGAATGCTATAGGAATTTAAATATTATATTGTCAGAAATGCATTTTGTATTCTATTGTTATTCCTACAAATTATTTTATTATTATAATGACAATGGATGTTCTTAACAGTCCATGAGGAAACCTAGGTCTATTGTTGCTAATCTGTCTCACCCTACCTTCCATTTTTTCACATTTTTCCATCTGGAAGATGCTGTAAATCTGTTGGGGTTTTTTTTTATTAAGCTTCTAGGAGAGTTTCTCATGTTTTCGCAATTTGTATTAGTCTGTATGTATGAAATGTTGTAGATTTATGAGAACAATGTAATTAAATTTTCTGTACTACATGTTTCCAGTATTGGGGCTAATCCCTTGTGGACTTCAAGTTGCTAAGCAGGTGATATGTATCTGGAAGTTCATAAATTATTTTTAAACTCCTGGTGTCTTGATATCTTCATCATCGTAATGGGTACATGTGTGATTATGGCTATTAGTGAGTCTGGCAGCGAATTGGTTTATAAGGATTATAGGGAAGAGGTGCACAGAGATTTTCTTTGATCTCTTTTTCATGTGCTGTAACGCAGGGGAACACGCAGGGATCTGGTATATTGACCTGAAGAATGGCGCTGGCAGTGCTGGCAGTGGAGAGCCTCCTGTAACGGCCGATGTGGTGATGAGTATGGACAGCGCAGACTTCGTCAAAATGTTCACAGGCAAGTGCAGACATGTTTGAGCGAGCAGAATCAAATATGTGGAGGCAGTTGTGTTAAGGCAGTTCAGTAGATGGTTTACCGAGGGTTGGGAGCAGTCTAAGTATCTGAACAGGACACTTGCCACAGGAGCTGTACCAGTGTGTCCCGTACAGAACCTAGTTACTGAAATGGCTGCCAAATCCCTGATAATTCTGACAATGTGCTACTTTTTTTTATGTGCCTTTGAATTCATGCATTTGGGAGGATCTGTTATGTTGGGGTGGAGGGAGATCAGATCATCTGGAGAAAAAGACAAAAGAAACGACATTCAAGTGAGAATCAGGTGGGGCCTCATTGGTCATTTAATCCTGTCAGGGCAGATGGTATGAATCTAATCTCTGGTTGGAGGAGGCTGGTTGGTTGCAGATGTCTCCTGTTGATGGCATAGATGTGCTGGTCCTGCAGATGTTCTGTTTGACTCAGGACAGAAAGCAAAGCTGGACCTGGCTAGGCCATTACATATTCTTGCAGTCAGGCCAATGCAATCCTTATAGTGCTTTGACCCTGCTAGAAAATCAACACTTAAAGATTGGTTTGCAGGAATGCAAAACGTGTTGGGTCAAGGAGTTCATCAATGTATCGCTAAGCTGCAAGGTTGTCCTCAGTCTAAACCAAAGGTGTTCTTGCTATAACCCCACCAGCACATAGTCATACTTCCACCACATTCTCAATTGACTTGACCAATGTATGCATATCTCCTTACCATGACATCCCCATGCATGTTGTCTTCCATGTCAAAGGACAAATGGTGTTTGCGAGTGAATTAAATACTCTACCACTCTCTTTGCCATCACCTTCTATGTTTCCTGGCTCACCTCCCATTTCACCCAGTTACCTGTTTATTTTCATACAGGTGGTGGGCTACATCTGTTTTGCCAACATGTAGTTTGAGCTGTAGCCATTGCAGCCTACAAAATACACGGAAGGGTCAGACCATTGAGAAGGTTTTGGGACAGTGTAGTGACCCTCTTACTTCCAGCCTGTGGCCTGTGCCTCACAGAGAAACCAGGAAGCCAGTTCAGTATTACTGTGCCGATGGAGATTGTTGAACCATTCTTTTGGCAGCTTCTCCCACAGATGGGTTGCCTTCAGTCATGCTGTTGGAATTCAGGCATTATTCATTACTCAGGTACTATGTAGGAAGATCTTTCTCTGTTATTCCAGTAATTAAAGTCATGTCTTTAATTAGGGATAGATATCTATGCATTAATATGAAGTGTACGAGCAGTTTGATGGCAGATTTCAGTCTGAAGTGTGAACAGACATTGAATTAAAAATTGTGCCAGACTTGGGTTGCATTCCACAAACCTGTATGTCTGCATTCATGGTGCAGTCCAGTGGTACAAAGCACTGGCAATGTACTGCTGACTGGTGAAGAAATGCGATATGCTCAGATGAATCATCTTTCACCATCTTCTTAACAAACAGATTAGTGTGTGTGTAGAGCCTGCCTGTACAGTCCAGAGTGCTTGGTTCCAACAGTGAAGGGCTCTTTTACTGGCACGGTTTGTGTTTATTCATTCTCTTAGAATGCAAGGTCAAAGCTAATCGGTACTTAATGGTAACAACTGATATTCTTCACCCCATGTTGCAGCATTTCTGCAATTTGAGGACAGATGTGTTTCAGGATGACAATACCCCCATCCGCATTCACAGAGCATGTATGGTCACAAAGGGTGTGATGAGCATAACACTAATGTATCTATATACCTTCTCAGTCTGAAGATCTGAACTCAATCAAACAATGTTGGAATATTCTGGAATGACTCCTAAGCAAGCATTGATTCAACCACCATCCACTAGGTGTGAGCTGATTGACTTCTTAATCCAAATGGTGCCTCATCCATCCCTCTGAATTCCAGACGATGGTCGACCTTATGCCACAGCACATATAGGCTGTACTGTCCACACATGTAAAATCACTTTCCCTATTAAGTGATTTTACATTGGTGTTGATATTTTTGCAGTCCTCTTCGTGTACTTCAGAATGAGGTAAATTATACCATACTAATGAAATGGGACTACCACCTGTATTCATACATGAAGGGGGATACTGAATCATAGGTAGAATAATTCTGATGAGCTGTTTGCACATTTAGTAGAGGTAGTTTTACAGCATAAATTTCCTACATTTAAGAAACCAGTATGTTTCCAATTATTAGGTCTAATGGTAATTCACTTAGCAGTACATTGAGGAACTTGAGAATAAAAATTAGAAATCAATTAAATTTAATTATTTTATTATCTGAAACTGACTTGTGACAACCTGTTTGCCTGTGGAGGAAGGCACTTATAACCTTGACATGTTTTATTTTTTGGTACTGTCTCCCTGCACAAATCAAATCTCCAGACTTAAACTTGTTTTATATGCCTCAGTTTACAAGGCCAAGGCCCCTGAGTTAAGGGCGCACAGTATGAAATAACAATAAAGGTGCTTTCCTTTTTTTTTTTTTTTTTTTTTTTTTAAATCCTGGATGTGATCTTTTGGTGCACCTGTTAAGAATTGTAATATTCAGAAAAAAAATCCAGTTTGTGGTCCAAATATAATAAATCCAAAAGCCATTAGTGCAAAGCTCTCTCAAATTTATTTTAAAAGTGAAAACCAAAAATGACCAATCTAATAAATGTAGATGAGTCTATGAATATTGCTTTTCAATACAGTGCTGTACACTACTGGGCAGATTAGCAAATCTTAGAAGACAGAAGAATCTGTACAATATAGTACAAATAAAGACCCTGTTTTTATGAGCACTTTTATTCATTGCAGTCTTGTGTCAATGAATATATTATTTGCATTTTAATTAGATACATCATTTGCATTTTTTGCTTGGTGACAAAATAACTTCTCACCATCTTATACTAGGTTCTGGACTATCCCTGAATATGCCATTCTGAGCACTATATACTATGATAGTTTCAAAATGAAAGGATTGGGTATTTATATCAATTGACTCTTAAAATACAGAAAGAAGGACAATCATGCTCCATCTATCTATCATGCATACTTAACACTTTCAAGGGAGTGCTCATTGAGATTTGTTACTGGATATAATGTGAAGTAGTTTTAAACTACACTTTATCAGGAATTAGAAAGTAACTTTGAAATTGAAGTTTCTGTTCTCAAAACATACTGTAGTAACTAATTAGATGTACAGCACCTGGTTTCTTGCATTGATATTTTAATACTTGCCTCTAAACTACAGTACTTGACAACATTCTGCATACAGTTATTTGCAGTTTACATTAAAATGCACAACACAACTGTTTCTAGCAGCACAATAATTTAAAGTTTACTCAAGCAAGTAATTCTCTTTTTAGGTTAAAATATGCACCTGCATCGTTCTGCTTTCAATGTAGAAATGAATTGGCAAATATCAATCAGTTTATGTGAAATCTCAGAACATCTAGGAGAAGGTCTCAGGATTTCTTGAACCTTCACAGAACTACCTCAGGAACCTAAGTACAGTGGTATTGTATTGGAACAAAAGAATGGGTAAATATTTCAGCTGCAAACTTCAGAAGAAGTTCACTTTTATATGGGGATCAGCACATACAAGGGTGCTAAGGGCACGCCACAACACCTCAGCATCCTTCTTACTAAATATACATTTACTTTTTAAATATAACTCAGCTGATAATCATATTCAATTAAAATGCAAAAACTACCTAGAATCTATTTTAATCCCTAGATTTTTATTTGTTTTTAAATTTCAGTATGCAAAGCCTGAAATGATTAATGTGAAATGAAGAAACCACATATTAAGCGGAGCTAAGAGCCAAACCAGGGCACCCCCATCTTGCCACACTTCATTTTCAGCCATGTACAGTAGCTCCTAATAATTGGTATCAATTACTGTAGGTAATTTAGCAAAGCTGAGATGATAGCTGCTGTGCTTTGACGGGTAATAATGCAGAAATACGAGAATTGGCACATTAAAAGTAAAAACCAGGAATATACCCGTGGGAGATGGATCCAAGAATTATAAAATATAAGCACAATGTATAGTTATAAGGTTTCTAATTAAGGTGTTGTTAGCATAAAAATTCGCATTTTTTCTGCATTGTTAACATGGTGTATGATTGAAATAAAATGATCACTTTACACCACAGAATAAACCCGTAAGCAAAATAATGCTATGGTAGCCATTAGTTTGAGAGCTGCTGATTATGGGCTCAGGGATGATAAATGAATGCAGTAGCCACCTTCCTTCTATGCATTACTTTACTGTCAATATTGCTTTGCAGCAGCATTAATTGCTTTCCTGTGAGTTAAACTAAGATGATGCATTGAGTTGGTTTAAAATAGAAGGCAGACTGATCGATGAAAAAAATGCCCGTATTATTAATCACAATCCAGTGTCAGTCCATTATGAGCTGTTGAGGTTGGCTAAGACATCCAAATGGTAAACAGTTATTGCTTGTGTTATTTTTTTTCCTATTTCTCTAACCTTATCCCAAATCTCCTGTTGTCATGGGGGAAACCTATTTCTGTTTGTTTTTGTTGTAAGTTCCTAAGTACGTATTTTTTTGGAGATACATATACCTGTAATCACTTAAAGAAAAAATGTAGTGCTTTTAGAAAGAATCTGCATGGATGAGTACATTCATGCAGATACCACAATGAAAGTACTGTAAAATCTAGACAGTAATGCGTAAAACCTCCAATTTACATCACAAAATAAACTAATTTTCCAGGTATGCACAGAACCATATTGCCATCGTTGTCTATGATTCAGAACAAGGCAACAAAACTTAGTGACGTGATGCGGCCTAATTACATTGTAAACAAGAAGCTTGTGAATCCATCTCTTTCAATCCAATAGAAATATCGCTCTTAACTTTTCGACGATTTTGCTGACTATTACGACTGCCTTGTTAACTCTGCTCGCAATCACATTAGAACATTGCTGCAGTGAAATGTCTACTGCAGAACCTGTACTTATTTGCTTGTACACTGTGTTAGATTAGTCATTCCAGTGACTAGTGAGCAGGGCTGCTTCTCGTTGCAATTCGTACAAAGTCTCACTCTCACCCTTGGCAAGACCAGGGGTTTGTGACAACATGGTGACTATACAGTATTTTCACAAAGGTCACAGTTTTGTGCTTAATTCAAAATTTGTAAGATTTTGCAATACCGCCGCCTATTTATATTATTTTGTCACCAGTCTGAGAATTTGGGACTGAAGTTCCCCTTAAATTGACGATTTGTTTTTACACATTTTTACAAAATATCTGTATGCATTCTGATGGGCTAAGGATCTTATATATTTATCAAGTTAAAATCACAGTTGCATCCAGTCCTATAGGACTCTAGTTTAAAAGGTTATAAATCATGGTAGTGTTAGTAGAGGAGGATACAGTATTTAGTGCGATGCAGCCTCTCTCTTCTCCTGCTAATTGACATCAGCTGGCATTCTAGTTTGTGACAAAAATCTAAGGCATTAAAAGTACCCTGACTAACTTAACTTAAGACTGCTTAAGTTAATGGCAAACTATGATATCCCAATAATAAACAGTTGTGTATATTTTACAGGTAATTGTGAGAAAAGTCTTTACTGCCATCTTTTGCATTTTTATTAGACTTTTCTGTTTCAGTTAAACTTTCTATTGAAATCCATAATTAGAATGGCCCTTTTTTTACCTCAAGATATTTTCTAGTTAGCCATCACCTTGTTTTAATTCCATGATTGTAGTTTAAATTAATTTAATTAGAGAGCTGTGAATGGACCTAAGGTCTCAGACTAAGACTGATTGGATTATTTTAATCCTCCTGTGAATTTAAGTGGTCCTAAGTGTCAGTTAACAGCATAATGTAAAAAGTGTTTAACCGATTAAATGAAGGCTGTTTTCTTTTTTTTTTTTTTGCTGCATGATATGCTTTACTTTTGTTATCTTTCTTGTTCACAGGTAAACTAAAGCCAACCATGGCATTCATGTCTGGAAAACTGAAGATTAAAGGTGACATGAGTCTGGCAATTAAAATGGAAAAGATGATGGGCATGTTGAAGCCAAAACTGTAAAATAAAAAGGGAATCCCCAAATCTGGAACATTTTACACATTTTTCTTACACAAATGAAAAAGATTTATGTGATAAACTGTTTGCCTTTTATAACAATAAAAAGGGTTCCATTTTACTCTTACTTTTTCTGAAGCCTTTGGGTTTTACATTCAGTATTTATTGGTTTGTGTCCATTATTCTTATAAGAAAAATAATAATAAGGATAAAATAATTGAAACAAAGCAGATACCCGCTCTCCTAGTGCTACATAAAGACCAGAGAAAATAAAAACAAAAATGAATTCTTGCAAATAAGCTTTTTTCACTTTTGACTTATTGTCCAGCATGAAGTGTTAGGAGTGGTGGAGGGAGGTTGATTAAACGGAAAAAAAAGAATAAAGGTTCTAGTTTTAATGAAAACAAAAACAAAAGGTTTGTTTTTATGCACCATTTCAAGGATTTTGATATGATGCCTCACAGTTCTTGGATCCTGGATTCGATTTCAGCCCAGGGACACCTCTGTGTAGAGGTTGAGTGCTCTACGTATGTCCGAGTTTTCTCCATGTACTGTATTTCTCCATGTTTGGTTTCCTCCCAAAGTCAGAAGATGCGGTATTTAGGTTTTGATTCGCTGTGTCCCTCTAAGAATAAAATATTTACTCACGATGGATAGATGTGTGACTTGCAAAACTTCAATTGGCCATTGGCTATGCTTAAAAATGCTACTTCTGTGAAGCCCATTAAAAGCACGCAGTACCCTGGGAGCTAGTGGCCTGCCTAACTAGATAGAATTCCGCCAGTGTTTCTTCGTGCAATGTAAACTATAATTTGTTTTAAACCTGGATTTAAAAAGCTGGAATATCATGCGTGGATATGTGAATGTTTTTTTTGAGAATGATTATTAAGTATCCATATGTACTATATACAAATAGTATTTCTTTATAAGAAATAAGAAAAAATCTAGACTTTTCAGTTCCTAGAAGATTATTTATCCAAGGATCATCCTTGTGTTCAAAATATATAGTATTTTTTATTATATCAAAATATATAGTATCAGTGTACAATAAACATATGCTGTATATAGACTGTATATCTAAAATATAGTCTGGAATAGTAGGGTGAAATAAACTTGTATTTTTTCTTCATTCTCTCTTCACATTTTATGCTGTGTCTTGTCATAAAGCCATGTGTTATTAAATAGCATTGCATCCAATGAAGACCCATCTTCTCTGGTTTAACTCTGGAACTCTGGAACTTCTTCAAGTTGTGAGGAATTAAATGTGAACAGTAAGACTTTGTAATCTGATTTTTGGTGAAGCCCTCATTTTTCCAGTAACTGATCAATGACAAATGTGTCAATGAATTAAACGTGTTACAAACAAGAATCGAAAACTAATAACATAAATAGCCAGAATTATTTTGAAGTATTCAAAATGTATACTTACTGATGATGTGCTGAAACATTGCAGACCACAGTAAATTCACTGTGAGCTTTTACTTTTTTTTGCAGCTTCCAGAACTATATAGACTGATGGGGGAAAAAATAATCATTTTCTGGAATGAGAATACTATAGTTAAAGTTTATGTAGTTTCACAAAAAGTTGTCAAGTTGTTTTAAGCCCTATGACCAGCAATACAGCTTGTGCAGTGAAGCATTGCAACTTGCCAATCACAAGTTCATTAGGTGTGCTTTTACCCAACGAGGTCCAGGTGAAGCAATGCCTGGTCAGGTCACCTTTTAAAAGGCCTTAATTCAAAGCTTAGGTCACAGCAAGAAAAAGGCCACATTTAGTCAATTTTCTTTGCATTCCATAATAAATGTCACCAGAAGCAAGGGAGAGGGCCATTGGCATGCTGCAGGCAGGTGTGTCATGTACCAGCATTTCCAGACATTATGGAGAAAGTCGCTCCACTGTGTCCCAACTGCAGAGAAGGTTTCAGCAGACTGCCAGGACATACAGTATGACCGTCAAAGATCCGGTCACCCTTGAGTGACCACACCAGAGCAGTACCGACACATCAGACTGGTCCATCTGAGAAATCGTTTAAGATCTGTCGCCCGCACTGCTGCTGAAACTGCCGGCAGACACAATGCCCGCATCAGTGACAGGACAGTGAGGCTCCATGCTGCTGGCCTTAGAGCAAGGAAACCTGTCAGAGGCCCTCTGCTCACACCTCCTAGACATCACACCCGACCGGCTTGGGCCAGACAAAGGCTGTGATGGACTCGTCAGCAGTGGCATCAGGTCCTCTTTACAGATGAGTCACTCTTCAGCCTGTTCCATGCAGACAGGAGGGCCAGAGTGTGGAGGAGGAGGTGTTACATTTCTTTTTTCCATCAGTATAGAAATGATAAAGCACTTCGCAGCTTGGCTATTTGTATTGTAGAAGTTCATGTAGGTAGCTGCGTTAGCATGCATAGGCTGCAAAGGAACAGGTAAAGGTTTATTCCATACTGAAAGAAAAAGAAAACCTACACAGTGTTTCGGCTGTGGAGCCTTCTTCATGTGTCAGCAGTCTCTTTTCTTTTCCTTTCACATGGGATAAAGCTTTACCTGTTCCTTATTTGTATTTTACTCTTAAGGTCCTTAGTTTACTATTTTTATTTTTGACCAGGGTGCCTGCCTTCTTAGCAGATGCTCAGCTCTCTCCTTCTATTAACAACATCAGTGTGTGGTCAAAACAGTCTGCAGTATATTATTTTAACTATTTTAACTTATTTTATGTTATTTAAAAAGCATTTTGCTTGATGTTGGTATGCACAAGCTATTTCTCATTTTTTTACAATTTGAACCAAATAGTAGCTAAAATTAAATAATGCCTTGCATATCATTGTTTACTATAATGGAAGAGGGCCAAAAGCCACTATAAAAAGTCAACACCTATTTTCCAGTCCATTATCACTGGCAAAAAAATAATAATTAAAAACCCATGACCTTCTCTCCCTGCTTTTTGTTTTGTCTTCTTTAATTGATAGTCTGGCCAAAAGTAGAAGGAACATGAATCAAAACTTAAAAATGAAAAATTGAATTCTGTTTATTATCTCCATGCCTGCACAGTGTTCTGAAACCTGTCTCAGGTTAAGACCTAGAAAAGAAACCTAAAAAAATAAAGAGACTAATATTTCAAACATATTAAACATTTGCTATATTTTTTATATGAATACTTGACTTTACTTCCTATCCTTTCTAAAGCAGAACACTAAGGTTAACCTGTGCTCCCCCAACTCAAATAACCAAACTGCTAACAACCAAAAGTGCCAGATGACAACACCCTTCTTTCATCTGTAACAGCTGCTCTCCTTTTCCCCTGTGCAGATCGAGTCCATTCTAATAGGACACGTAGGTGGATTAGGTGGATTTTTAATCATGCTTTAAATTTAAATTTGCTTGAGACCAGCACAGAATGCCATAGCAGGTGAAATCAGTCCCCAGTATTATTGATGTGAAAAATGTCTGGAATTAATCTCACAGTACCAGAATAAATTTACTGGACATTCCTCTAAAGATTAATCTGAAATATAGAATCTGACCGGACAGAGGAATTGAAAGACAATTGCATTTCATTTCTTCCAGTGACATTTTGGTCACAATAGAGTGGGCAAAGTGGAAAATGTTTAGTTGCTTTACTGAATCCCTTTCTGCTTTAACCTTTTTGGTTAAAAAGGTCATGCTGTCAAAATCTATTCATTATTATATGACCTGGATACTTTTGTCGTTCTCAATTAAATTTAAGATGAACAAAGTTAAGAACATAAGAACTGTTATAAATGAGAGACTGGTCATTTTGGATTGTGATCCAGGGGCCTCTCTCAGCTGTTTGCTGGAAGAAGCCAAAGTATCAAGAACATGATTTAAGAACATGACTGCGTATCTTTTTCATGCTTCCATAACTCTTTGGGTAAAGAAGTGCCTCCAGTTTTCATTTTTAAATGCATTTCTACACACATGGGTTGACTTTGTGACACTTCTGTCATATTGTTTTTAAATATTATGAGATATATATAATACAGGATAGGATACTCATTCTTGTAACCATCAATAGCATTTCAAGGAGTTTAAATTCTATACATTCAGTATTGAATGTATAGTACCAAGCATCTAACAATAAACTTTCATGGCACCTAATTCAATTTCAAGTGGGAGACATAGTGCTGCAGTGGTTAGTGTTGTTGCCTTGCGGTGCTGGGGCCCTGGGCCCAACTCCTGGGGTGATATCTGAGTGGAGTTTGCATGTTCACCCTACGTTCACAGAGGATTTCCTCCAGGGGCACCAGTTTCCTCCCACTGTCTAAAGGCATGCTAGTAGGTAAATTGGCCCTTGGGAAAAGTGGCCCTGGTGTGAGTGTGTGCGTGTTTGTGTCTGTGTGGCATCCTGTCCAGGCTGTAACCTGCCTTAGTGCCTTGCTTGCCGGGATAGATTTCAGCTCCCTTTTTAAGATTAAGTTGTTAGAAATTGTATGGATGAATTTCTTCAAGTGCTTTTTTTTTCTTAAACATCTCATGACATACTGCTGTCTGAATGAGACAAACACCACATGTTGCCACTGTGATCATTTTTTACATATTTTATTATTACTCTACCCAAATGATTTTTTAATTTCCAATATTTTGTAGGGATCACAGTCTACCAGGAATCAGTAAGTGTATATCAGACCGCTCCCTGAAATGTGTGTGCAGCCAGTGTGACAGGGCAATGATATCTTTGTGACTCTGAAAATTGAAAATATACAGTAGCTACTGGAACTATGTTTTGAAAACACTGGGACAATAAGAAGAAGTATTTTTAGATACATGGCACACTTATCAGTTCTGACCACAGCTAACCTTTAATTTGGTCTGTGTTGTATAGACTAAACCATCTCTCGTATGACATGCTTTGCATTTTCAGGTGGAATCAACTTAACTTTAAGACACGCTTTAAAACTACTGTGTTGAAATGTAATTTCAAAATTTTCAAAATTCAGAAACATTTACTTAATAAAATTGCAAGTACTGTATGTTAGAGTTTTACCTATGAACACACAGCTAGTCATACAGTGTATAAATCTGGATGTTTTATGTTAGACATACAATATAAAGTACAGTACATGGATATTCCTTCATGTGCTGATACTGTATATTTCATACAAACTAGGCTGGATAAGA